CAGAGGTATTGCACAGTATCATACGAAACTGAGGGCGCTCTAATATATTAGGACTGGCAGGCATCCATCAAAAGTACGGACCTTTCCTCGCAAAATAATCAAGATACTACGGCCCAAAAAGAGAGCAGTAGTCCAAAAACTCTGTAAGTCCTAGCATCCGTCATTAGTGACGTTAAGCATACACTTTATTGCCTAGCTGTTGCTTTTTCGCCATCCGCTATAAAAGGCTATAAGAAATTGTGTAGCCGGCCATAGAAGCTATTCGAAATCTTACAGCCGGCTGTAGGTCTATGGTATTTTGGAACACAGATTCTACTGCCAATTTTTACCAGGGTAGCGCAAACTGAGGTAGAGCGTTTTTGCAGATTCATCGGCAATATTCAGATTTTCCAGCTCCTGTGAGGAGATAGAGAAAGTATGTTCAGATGTAGCGATAGGATTAAAGGCACCGTTGAAGTAAAATGAAACTACAAATTCACCTCCAGTGGTTTTCAATGAGGCTGTTCTCTTGCGACATACGGTTGATTCTCAGTTGATGCAGGCTATGAGCGAATGAGCGTATTGGCACGAGTTCGTTTTCGCATCAACCGAGAATCAACCGTATGTCGCACAAGTGAGCAGCCTCATAGATAACCACTGGATGTGAATTTGTAGTTTCATTTTAATTCAATGGTGTTTCTAATCCTATCACTACACCAGAACATACACTCTCTATCTACTCCCATGTTTTATGAACACTCACGGACTGGGATACGAAAATTTTCAAATGTGGATCTGGGGGTTTTGGAGAACCAGCAGATGAAGAATTACAGATAAAATTGGCAGGAGATGGGTTGTATTCTGCTTCCAGAAATAATCCGCGAACAATGGACTTGGTGAGTGAGAAAAAAAGTTCGGTCATATGAACCGTAATAGATGAACCGTCATAAGAAACATTTTCTTTTTTAAATGACTTAGACATGTTTTAAGGAAATTTTAGAAGACAACTTGCTAATTTTTCTTAACTCTAAAAAGTCTCTTTTCAGAGTTAAAAACATGTTACTTAACATCGTTAATAACAATTATAAAATATGAAAAAAAAATCTAGTAATTACTTTTATAGCATTTCAAGTTGAACGTCTTAAAGTCGTTTTTGAGTTTTTTTTAGTTTTTCGTCCATTTCAAAGTAACGTATCTGAAATATTTTTGTGTTTTCAAAGACATTTAGAAAACGTCTTACATGCGTCATTGTATTATGAGGGTATATGCATGATGCGGTCATGAATAAAATGATTATTACTACCGATATGATAATCTGATAATCGAAGTCATCGATAAAATTATATCAGGCTTTAAAAGGAAATTCGTAACGTATTATTATTAGACAAACGCCATCATAGGGCAACAGACTGTTGGCTCTCACTTGCATTCTAATAATTACGATTGCTAATTAGCATGACATATTACTTGCCGTGTAGAAATTTACTCTCTCCATTGGCAGTTTGCCCCAATTATTGATAATGCTTGTGTTGACAGCACAGAGGGCTATGCGCCTTGACAAAGTTGGACCATGGATTTGAAGTTGAAGCAATGAAGTACAGAGAGCCGGTTGAAATTATCACAATGTGGATTTAAAAATTCCCCCTTGTCAGCAATGGAAATTAAAGGATTTGTGTTCTGCCCAACCGAATGCTTCTGAGGATTTGCATTTAAGTAATTCGTCGCTTGGCTGACATAAGAGCGTAACTACACATTGAGATGAGCCCGGAAAAGCATTGAATTTTATGGAAGACAGGGTTCATTGCAGAGTGTAATTACGCCCTTATGTCAGCCAAGCAACGAATTGTGTTCAGAACGGCCAATTTCATGAGCGAATCCTTGAAGCAGTGAAAAATATCACACAGTGATTGATCATCATCAAGTTAGAGGGGAAATTAATGATTGGATATCAATAATATTAAATGCAGTGTTATAGAACTTCCTGATTTTTTGAAATTTTTTGAGAGTGATTTTTGCCGGAAAAGGGAGGAATAAAATTGAAAATCTGTCAATTGGTTGAAATTCACACCTTCTTCCTGCGGTAAAAAAGACAGAGGACATCATCGACGTACCTATGCCATTTTTGTTTGATGAGGTCCAGTGAAATAGATGATGAGAAAAAAGTTGCATGTTAATAGTGCCGATGGATGAATCAAACCACGTATCTCAGTTTGCAATGTTGCAGATTTCTTCCTTTTTAAGTTTTTGAAGGCTGATCAATCATCATTATTGGGAAGAATTTTTTGTGATCAATGCTATTCGGTGGCACAGACCATCAGACCAGTGGTCATTCTTCAGAGTTGGCAACGCTGTTTTTCCTCCATTTAAATGCATGTAAAATAATCGATTCTTGGTCAGGCAGCTTGCCTCACCTAAAATCTAAACTTTCGATGGTTTGTAATAGGGGAAACATAGTTTTGCCAACTTGCAAAATCGCCACTGCATCCGACTAAGTCTTATGACCAATGCACATGACGTAACCAGTGCGATTAAGGATCGATAATTAAGAATAAATTCAAAGGAAGAAGAAAGCACGGTATGCACATTTGCGGTGTTGTAACATTCAAACACGTCAAATTCTTTAAAAGAAAGCATAATTCCAATCTAATCAATAAAGTCCTTAGAATGGGCGCCAAAATTATCATTATTTTTCGTTTTATTTTTAGGAGCAACAATTTAAATTGAGGGAACCTGGTTAAAGAAGTATTAAAGAAGTATTAAAAGTGCTTAATTCCCTAAAAAATATGTCCGAAGATATTTAATCAAAATTCCATGGAGAAAACATTACGCTTCATGAAATCCTCAGAGACCAACTCCTGCCCATGTGAAATGAAGTTTGCATTACACGGAGTCTAATAAAATACGATGTTTGTCAACCTTTCATCTAAATGTATCCATTGAGTATTTTTAAATGAATATTTTCAGCTAACGCACGGATTTTAACTATTTTTGATTTCCGAGTGTATCCTGATTAATGAGTATTTATGAAAAAATACACGAGTTATTAAATAACGCTTTATTTTATTCAAATTAGACCTGAAATCTTACTGAAATGCCAACTTGCTTTGAGTTTCTGAACCATTCATTCAGTTCGAATATTAGATTGGTGGATGTTAAAACCTAATAAATCCATTGTTTGGTGAGCCCTTTGCTCCTAAAAGAATACTTATGGTTATTCATCAGATAATGGACATGTTCGGTTTTGACATCCTTCGATCAATTTGGCGACGAAGAGTTAATCATCAGCTATCGATCTTTTGCCATTAGAAGCCATCATCAAGAATTGATTTTTAATGAATACCCTGATAGTCGATGCTTTTCCATAAGTTTAAATGGCAGATCAATCGATTGATCGCAAAACAAGACAAGTCGCTGACTTGAGCTGTGGATACTGCAACTTTTTAGGTAAAGTTCGGAATTAAGATTACTATGAATGATGACTTATTAAAAGATTAAATGCATCTCCAGTAAAACTGGACGCATTTCTATCAAACGGAACTATGTGAATTATGATGTGAGCCGTGTTATGCATGTATTCTAATGGGTCTCAGGGCTCATGTCTTAATGCACATAGTTCCGTTTGATAGAAATACGTCAAAATAAAATATAATCGACGATCTTCAGAGCACGATAAAATCCGCAATCGTTTTCCAGGGAGTGTCGCCAAATTGTGATATGTTTTTGCTCCTACACTTTGAATCTACGTTTCAAAATAAGCAATTTTTCTCAACGGATAGGTTCATATCACAATCTTGCCATTCTGCCTTGATGATCATTACAGAGCTCTTCATACCTCTGAAGATTATTGATGACATTTTATATTTACTAGGGATAGAGCTCATCTTAGGAGTTTTGATCTCTCTGGAAAACTCCAATTCTTTAGTTCAGAGAAAAAACTGACCATGAGTCAAAAATATCAATTTTCAGTTTTCGATGGTATATAACTCAAAAAAATTTGGTCAAAATTTTAAGTCTTATAATTATACTATCAATAATGCCAAGAGTGTTATTTGTCATTTCTGTGGCTAACAGAAACGCCGGAAAACTTAAGTTTGTTTCTCCATTATTCTCTTACTCTAAAAAAATGATGTTAAGTAAAACAATCATATTTACAATGCTTTGTTTCAAAATCTCATCTCCTATTTTAATTTTTTGGATGAAATCAATCAACATCCCCACTAGAATATTGTTCAATTTTTTCGGACCTAATGAAAATTATTTCCAAAAAATGTTAAGCGAAGCTGAGGGCTAGTTTCCTCCGAAGAAATTAAAGCAGGAGATCAGATTTTGAAACATTGCAATGTACATGTGAATGTTTTGCTTGACTGTTCAAATGATCTTGAAATGTCAATTTTAATTTTTTTTGTGTGTTCTTTGCGTCAAATGACGCATAACAGAACTAACCCTCTATGCTATAGTATTCTCATTATTTTTTTACCTGAAGGGCTCTTCCATGCTGACACCATAAGATGGAAATCATGTAATCACTACTTATCACGAGTGCTCATCGAAAATTATATTTTTTTATGATTGAAAAAACCACTGATTAGTTCTTTGAGTGAATTTTTTTGTTGTGATAAAGATAAGATCTTTTTTATAATTGAGTGAAAAGTAATCAAAAGCAATCATAAATTCTCAAAATTATTAAATAAAAGAGGCATTTTTTTAAATCGAAGATATAAACATTAAAATTAATCATCAGTTATCAAAATTATTGGATAAGAGCAGCCAAAAAAGCATTTTTAAAAGCCAGCGTCTGGGCCTGTTTGGGCTCTTTTTTTTTCGAAAGAACTATTTTTTTCAAATTTCTGTCATAATTTAGTGATCGAGCCTCTTTAATAACAACTAGTAAATATTTTGTTTGGCTTGCTGTAACAGGTAATTAGTATGTTATTTTTTTTAAAAAAGTGTTTTCAATGGAAAGTTCAAGTTGTACTTGATTGGATGACGAATATGGTTGAAATAAAAAGTTACTACCAAAGTTTAACAAAAAAAATAAATGAAATATTGTTGTTATATTTGTGTGGTCATGGAAATTGTACAGAGTCTTACAAAGAAAATAAATATAATAAATTACAATTGAAATTAAATAGTCAGCCCACACTTGCGCACGCCGTCCGAGCGAGGTTCACGATTGAAAGAGAGTAAATAATAAATAAATAAATCGATAAATAAATTAATAAATGAATTACAAAACGCGTAAAAACAATAAAGGAACAACTTAGCAATAAGTCCTTGCAATTGAGATGAGGATAATATGTACATTTGATGTAGATTGCAAAAGATGTTGGGTAATGAAACAAAGATGGAAAGAGATTCGTTTGTTTTGATGAGGAAGTTCGAATAACTTAGAAACACTTGCGGTGAACGATTCCTGGGCCGGATTCGTCGTATTCCTGCTTGGAGATCCACATCTGTTGGAAGGTGGACAGGGAAGCCAAGATGGAACCACCGATCCATACGGAGTACTTCCTTTCGGGGGGAGCGATGATCTTGATCTTGATTGTTGATGGGGCCAGGGCGGTGATTTCCTTTTGCATTCTGTCGGCGATACCAGGGTACATGGTGGTACCTCCGGACAAGACTGTGTTGGCGTACAAGTCCTTACGGATGTCGACGTCACACTTCATGATGGAGTTGTAGACGGTCTCGTGGATACCGCAAGATTCCATACCCAAGAAGGATGGCTGGAAGAGGGCCTCTGGACAACGGAACCTTTCGTTTCCGATTGTGATGACCTGTCCGTCGGGCAATTCGTAGGACTTTTCTAATGAGGTGGAGGCAGCGGCGGTGGCCATTTCCTGCTCGAAGTCTAAGGCGACGTAACATAATTTCTCCTTGATGTCACGGACAATTTCTCTCTCAGCTGTCAACAGACAAAATCACAGTGCGTTAGTTATCGTGTAGAGGAAATTCAAGTCCCTAACCGTGCCCGTGAATCGGTGCGCTTTCGTCTCTCTGCCGATTCAAAGTTCCCGCCACAACTTGAGAGGGATACAATTATCTTTTTACAATTGTTTCATTTAGCTTCCTTACATGAGAGTCTAAAATGACATTGACGTACAAATGCAACTGCTCACTGAATGTTACACACTTTCCTAACGAATTAAAAATAGAAGTACGAGATATCTTTAAATGGAAGGACATGGATTTTAAGAATGGCACTTGGGGCTCATCAAAAAATTGACGATTTTCATATCTTTTTAGCACCGAGGGTGAACAAAAATGCTTTTATTGATGATTTTGAGTACATCTTCGTCTGGCTGGAAAGATTAAAAGACTATGGAATGCATGAAGAGAGCAGGAGGGTACATGACGATCCATTTTTTTGGGTAATGAACGTGAAGTCATGGATGAGAACACTCTCATATGAGAAATTTTAAGGGAAAATGGGAATGATAAAGTAAAATTTGAGGGGCACTCTCATACTTTTGAAAAGTTTTCCAGAATAATATTCAAAATATTTTCGGATAGTTTTGGAAGATAGTATTGAAGGAAAATTGAAAGGGTGTTTGATGTAGGTTGGAAGTTGTTTCAACCTGTGGTTGTGAAGCTATAACCACGCCCCAGCGAGGATTTTCATAAAGTTGTAAAATATGAGGATATTATTTAATAATGTAATATTTGAGGAGTATCTATTGATTATTAACGTTCGAGGAACATATTCATGGATAGGGTAAGGATATGGGTTAAATGAAATGTGGGGAAGCCAACTCCTTGACGGGCTGTGGGATGACCGAGTTTTGTGGCGGTTAGGCGTCGCAGAGTAAACGAGAGCGACTCTTATGTACGTATGGTAAGGATATGGAATATAGGGATGAAATAGGGTGTTAAGTTGTTTTTACCTGTGGTGGTGAAGCTGTAACCACGTTCAGTGAGGATTTTCATGAGGTAGTCGGTCAAGTCACGACCAGCCAAGTCCAAACGGAGGATGGCGTGGGGGAGGGCGTAACCTTCGTAGATGGGGACGGTGTGGGAGACACCATCTCCGGAGTCCAAGACGATACCGGTGGTACGACCGGAGGCGTACAGGGAGAGCACAGCCTGGATGGCGACGTACATGGCGGGTGTGTTGAAGGTTTCAAACATGATCTGAGTCATCTTTTCACGGTTGGCCTTGGGGTTGAGGGGGGCTTCGGTCAGGAGGATGGGGTGCTCTTCTGGGGCAACTCGGAGCTCGTTGTAGAAGGTGTGATGCCAGATCTTTTCCATGTCATCCCAGTTTGTGATGATACCGTGCTCGATGGGGTATTTCAGGGTGAGGATACCTCTCTTGGACTGGGCTTCGTCACCTACGTATGAGTCTTTTTGACCCATACCGACCATGACACCCTGGAACACAGAAAAAGAATCTCGAGTTTAAAAAACAGCGAATCACTCTTGTGCATGATGTGGTTAAAGACCTGAGATTCCCTAATAACACTCCTTGTGAAATAACTAGTAAAAAAAGGGCAACAAACGGAAAATTGGTTCATTGCTCTATGACTAAGGAGGCGAGTCAAATCGTCGCTTGGCTGACAAAAGGGCGTAAGTTCACTCTGAGATGAGCCCGGGAACGCATTGAGTTATAACGGCAAAAGGGCTCATCTCACGAAGTGTTGTTACGCCCTTATGTCAGGAAGGCGACGAAATGGCAATACCTAGTTTTTGGGTAGGCGCAAGCCCCAATCGTGCTGGTCCTGAGACATGAGGCTAAAAATCTAGGCGATGCCATCCTGAGACTCAGCCTTACGGTCAATTTTCTATGAACTGGTGACTTTTATGAGATTCAAAATTGTACGTTAGAAACATGTGAAAATGTCGTGACAAGAATTTTACGTAAATAATAATACATCCCGCATGTCGTTGATAAAACTCTCAAACCACGTATATCGTTTGCTGTGTTTAAGAATCTCGGCTCCTGTTTTATTTTTTTGAAGGAAAAAAAGTCGACATAACTTCTTGTTGTTTTCTCAGAAATTGCCTCGCGCAGAACAGAAAAACCACGGAAGTCTTTCAGAATTGACGTTCAGTAGCTCTCCATTTCAAAAATCAAGTATAACAGGGAGTCTGCAACGTCGCAACCTGAGATACGTGGTTTGGTAGTTTCACCATCGACGTGCAATATTTAAAGTGAGGGTAAAAATATTTGGAAGTTATTTAGTCTGAGAATTTTAGCACGAAGGAAGAGAGCCTCGGTTAAAATTTTACAATTCTCCATGAAGCTGCCTTGATTTGAAATCTTCTTGGAACTGCCATAATTACAAACTTTGGAATACGCAAAAATAATGTTCGAGGAGATTTAAAGTCAAGGCAGCTTCATGACAGAGTAGGAAACCTTATTCCTAGGGTGCGAACTTTGAAACATTTAGAAGAGCAAAGTTCTCGGTTCAGATAATAACTAATGACTTTGGTAAAGAATACGAAGTTCAGTACGACTATCAAAGATTGTGCTTTTCTGAACCAAAGTTTATGGCCTTAAGGGTAAATTTTCAGCTTTAACGCAATGCATTCTGGCTACGATCAAAATATTTCAAGTTACAACCTTTAGATAGATTATATAATAAAAAATAAATAATCAGAATTTCAGTCTCTGCATACATCTATGAGAACTGGAAAATTCGTGCCGAAAATCTTCCTCCAAAATTTTAAAATAAAGTCAAAAGTTCTGATCTCATACTGCAATTGATTTCAGTGTATCGAGGTTGATTGGAAAAAGTACTTTTGATTTCGCTCTAAAATTTTGTAGCTTGATATTAGGCATGAAAATTCCTTGATGATTAGTTTTTAAACTAAAATTCCGATCGTCCCAAAATAACCCACCCAATGGTTCAAATTTGCAATTCCTACATTGTACTCAGAATGTCTGAATGTTCCAAGAAAAGCCAAACATCCACCGTTAACCTCGAACTCCAGTTATCCGCATACTAAAAACTTTAGTTTTCAGGGTAAATCAAAGTTTTTCATCTTTTTTTTTATCCCGGCTTCAATTTGTAAACCCTCGCGGAATTTTGAATCAAAGTCTCATTTTCAATCGACGCCTACCGGAATACATTTTGCAACATGTTCCTCGCCGTAAGAGGCCCGCGAGCAGCAAGATGCGCCGTCGTATCGCATCGGGGCGGTGATAGGGCGCAAGCGGGGCCGGGCCGCGAGCGTCGCGGCTTGCCGCCGTGCTCCGAGAATAGGGAACCTATTTTTACCCGGGCCCCTACCCCGCCAAGACCATAACGGGGCATCCCGAGGCGCGCCCGAAATAAAGCCCCGCAGCGCGGCCCCCCTCGCCCCCGCCCTCTCCCGCGCCGCGTGTTTATTTTTGTTTTGTGGAAAAACACTTCTTTCCTGTTCGGGCGGCGCGGCGCGCTCCCGAGCCCGGACTTGTTTGATTTGTGTTTCGGGTTCTGGCCCAGATTTTTTCGGGCCGGCCCTGGGGCGGAATTTGCGTGGTCGGACTCGCGGATAATTGACTTATCGGCCGCGGCATTGTTGGACTCGATTCCGTTATTTTCGACCCGGGGTAAAATTAAATCAGGTGACGGTTTTTCTTTTCCCGCTTCTGTCACACTTCGGGAGCCTCAAGTCGCCGGAAAAATGCAGGGATCCCTCCGACCCCCTCTCTCCTTCCCCGAAAGTTGCGTTAGGTCATGCTGGCTGAGAGCACAAACGAAAGACTGGGAGAACAAGGCGCACAAGTGCAGTATTTGAAATATTGAGGTATTAATGATTTCAAGGAAAACTAGTCTTGATACATATTCTGTGAAAAATTCGCTCCTAAATTCAATTTTTTAAGCATCTAAAAGCCAATTTGAAGTTTTTTTCCGTCGTAAGGATTCATGTAATTTCGAAACTTCGAACAAGTGTTTCTGAAAACTGCACTTATGCCTTGTCTTCCAAGCACCTCAAACAATCTGAGCGCGAACTGAGCAGCGTTTAGCGAGGGGGGACTAAGTACATGATGCTTCGTAAGAAAAATTGAGTCTAGGATGTTTCTGAGCTCGCTCCAAGGCAGATTTTCCCTCGTCAAAAGTAGGAACACAATACGTAACCTGGTCGATAGGCCATGAAAACACGTGAAATCGGAATGGCGGAATCTAAAAGAATCTGATAATTGACTGATCAGTTTTGAAAATTTTCGGTCGATTTCCCTGACTCAATCGATCTACTTGCCCCAACTCAGGGATTCCACAATTTCACGGATTAATTTTGTCAATGTCAGCATGATATTTTTGTTTTCTCGGGAGTTTTAGAGAACAAACGCGAGAAATTCTGGGGTTGGATTCCTACTTTTTACTCAGATAAAATTTTCCCCCGTGAGCGACTCTTAGAATATTTTCAAAAATATACCCCCAAGTATAATGTTACCGTGCGAGGGAAGAACGCCGTACGAATATATCAGAGTCGCCAAATTTACCTTAATAATAAATGTCTTTTTGACGACATTTATACACATTTTTCTTTGAAATTTCCAGAAATTTTAGATTGAATTGCTTACAAAATAATCTGAAATTTTTGGAAACAAATATTCACAATTTTCGCAATGCATTCGGTTTTCATCAAAGGAAACTTGGCAAAGTCTGAAGACTCATACGGCGCACAGTGGATCGAGTCAATTAGAGAGGTCGGACATGAAATTTTTGACTAAAACTGGAAATTTTGATGTTTATTCCGTCACATTTTAAATTTCAAGGGGTGCTTCTGAGAGAGAACTTCACGAGGAAACCAATGGAACCACTTTTAGAACCTCAAAATTTTGTATAAACGGAGTTATAAGCGTTTAAAGTTTCCAATTTTTTTCCGACCTCTCCCATTGAATCGATCTATAGTGTGGCGTTCTTCTTTAGGACGGCAGCATTTTGACTTGTTGATTGAAGTCAGGCATGTTTTAAATGCAATTTCAGTTCAAAATAGGCAGCTTTGATCGAGACAAGGCACGATGTGTGTTAACTCTTTATATTTTCTGATTGATTTTTTTCTTTTGTTTTTTTTGTTTCCTACATTTAATTATTTAATTATTTACCTGATGTCTTGGCCGACCGACGATGGAGGGGAAGACAGCACGGGGAGCGTCATCCCCGGCGAATCCGGCCTTGCACATACCGGATCCATTGTCGACAACTAAGGCTGCTACATCATCGTCACACATCTTGATTTGTTTTTGTTGTCACCTGTAACACGGAGACAACGCCGTAAGAATGATGCACGTTGCAAATATCATGGTCCATAGGCAGGGTGGCATGAAACGTGAGAAAGAAATGAAAGATTGGAAATTTCAGCGAGATATTTCATATTTTTCAGGGGCTGGAGTTCGCAACCCGTAACGAAACACGTAAAATTGAAGGAAGTCACAATTTTTACACTTTGCGAAACATGAAAAGGAACCAGTATTTTTCAATATCTTTCATAACTTTCTGAAATTTCATGAAATATTTCAAGATTTTATTTTTCATCAGATGTTGCCACCCTGTTCTTAAGATACAGAAAGGCAACCAAATCAACGTTCCAAAGTTTCGCTTGACAGATTATTTTATTTACTCGAGAAGATTTGCCAATTTTATTTGAAATTTTTTGCCATACTTTTGGTGATTTGACGAAAATTTCCTAAAATTTCCAACAAGAAAGTTGCAAACGTCCATGAATAAATAAAGAATCTGTCCGGTGAAACTTCGCATCATTGCGATTTGATCAAACCCCTCTAGCTCTCTCCTATTCTACTCCCCAGAAGTTAGATACAAAGTCAAATGTGCCCAGAGAGTTTCCTTTTTCACAATTGAAATTGTTTTTGAATGAAATGATGAGCCGTAGTGAATTTTTCAAAATTGCGATTAAAATACTTTTCTGAAAAAATTTTGAATGTGACTAGAGGGATAAAGTGTGTTACTTTGCAGATAAAAATTTCTATTCAGTTTTGGACTTGGAACGAATCAACTGCAGGGAGGTCTGTGATAGATACGCAATTCTAACTTCAAAATTCTGTTATTATATGATTGTAAAATCTATGATTGTTTGTGGAGTCGAGGAAAGTTGTGCTCAAGTCCATTTAAATATCATTTCCGAAAGTTGCCGAAAGTTTTCGCAGTAGATACTACTGGTCTACTACACAAGATATTTCACGATTTAAAAAAAATGTCTCTACGAGTTGTTGTAAGGTGAGGGTCCTTTTACAAAGAGCAAATAAGTTGATGAAACTAGAAATTTGGTTTTTTTTTTTAAAAAAAAAAAATAATAACCAATGCAATTTTCTCCATTAAAAGAGTTTGAGACAAAGTACTATTATTCTCTCAAACTCACGAAAAGAGGAATCATTCTTAGTATTTGTAGGTTTACCCTAGACTTACTACCTAAATATTACGATGGAATATCTGAATTGCTTTCGTCTAAAAATACTTATTTACTTCTTTTTTTATAGCTTTGTTTTCTGCAGTTTTTCATCACATTGTAATATTTAAAAGGGACCTTTGAAAAGCTGATAATAACTTTTGGAATGATTAGGGCAAGCTGAGGAAAAATAGAAAAATCATGAACTTTGAAGATGCTTTTCAAGTCGAGGCACTAACGTTTGAATTTTTCAAAAATATATCAGGCTCCAAATTGCAATGACACTTTTTAGAATCGAGCAATGGAAAGAACAATGCTACCTTTCGTAAAATTTAGTAAAGGATAAGAAACAAGAATTGACTAAATCTTTTGATTAACGCGATAATAAGCTGACCCGCATCCTAAAACAAATTCTACTTCTTTCATTTGGAATATCATATTTGTGAATGAGTCTTATTGAAAACGGATATTCTAGTTTTAAAACTGACGAGAAATTGTCGAGAGCTCAAATCACATTAAAAGAAATCGACCGCGGCAGATGTTAAGCTTCATGGAAACGTATTTTTTTTTTTTTTTTTTTTTTTTTTTTTTTTTTAAAATAGGTTACATTTTCTGATAAGAATATTTTGCTTTTTTGTAAATCGTAAAAACGAGGCACGTTCAACTTTTAATAAAATAGTTTCAGATGACTGATTCGTTCGACTATTTCCTTTAAAGCATGTGTAATGCAAAACTTGAAGTAAACCTTGGAGACTTCGTCGAGAAATGAATCAATTAGTTTAAATGAAATGAATCTCAATTCTTAAATGGGATAGGTTACGTACAAACGATTTTTATTTTAATTCAAAGAAATTGTGTTAAATAACTTTTAAAGTAGTTCATATCTATTGTAAATTCAATAAAAAATGTTATTTTTTGCAACCATCTTTTTCGCGACTGAAGCTTCTTCGGATAAATTCTATTTTATTCTTGCCGAAAAACACTATAATTTCGCTTAAATTTGATATTTAGTTATATGTTAGCTTCCATATCCCGAAAATTCAGCTTTAATGTTAGATATGTTATCGTTTCAGCTAAAAATTCAAATCCTGGATCTACTTTTAAGCTCAAAAGCTATTCATAGAATGTTAATAATTTACTTCTGCCTAACGTTTATGTGTCATATCGGATCAATTTGAGGAAGTTATGTTTAGTTTTAATCGAAATTATTAAAAAAATCTTGTTGAAGAAAGCCTTTGATATCCTATTAGCGACAATTTCTATTTTCAAACTCGCGATTATTAAAATTTTTACAAAAAACCATTGAAGTAGATTAAAATAAATGATTTCGTCAACCTCGGTTTGGAATATTATCACTAAACACACACCGCGAGCTCAGAGAAGTGACGAAGGGGGGGGGGTGGATTATCTGTATCTAGTGCTTAAGTATTCATAAGTTCGCTGGATCAAAGAATTTTTAATTTCAAGAGGTAGAAAAAGTTAAAAAGGGCCAATATGTATTTACTTCACTCGTTGATTAAATTATAAGTTTAAGATAAGCAGTGCTCTGAACTTTTGAATCGTTTGCGGCAATCACTGATTAAGCCGGAAAAATCACTTGAGATTTTCGATCATCGGTAGTATCAGTAACTTTTAAACTTCAAGCAGGCACGCGTTTCTTTAGTTTTTTCTTCGCAAATTGTAAAAATAAAACAGCTTTTCAGATTTTAAGCGATCATTCTTCTTTTCAAAATGTAAAATTGATGTGAATGAAAACTGCGTTTTGAAATTTTTCAGAGTATCCGTTCCCTTCGTATAATTTTCGCAAAATGTAAAAACCGAAACAACTCTTTGAATTTCAAGCGAATATCTTTTCTTTTCGTATTATTTTTGCAAAATGTAAAAACCGAAAAAACTCTTTGAATTTCAAGCGAATATCCTTTCTTCTCGTTATCATTTTTTCGAAATGTAAGAACTGAAAACATTGGAAACACTTGCGGCAACTTCTCGGGTGAGTCCGTGGGTAATCCAAACACTGCTGCGAGAACAACTCAAAGATCCTCGACCGAATCACAAAGAACACAGAAAAAAAAGTCACTTATGAGTGTAGATGTAGATTCACTTTCCACTTTCACTGGTTGGGGAGCTTACCTTTGCTAAGAGAATAGATGCGGTTCGGCCTGAGTGCGGTGAACGAATGAGTTTGGGAAGGCCGGGGCACCTATCTATATTTCCGCGGGAGTCTGGGGGCTAGTCCGTTCCCAAAATATCGGCCTCCTTAGATGGGAATCCCACGGGGCAGCGAAGCCGGGAGCGCGTCATGCGCCCCCCGCGTCCCCGCCCCACCCCACCAGTGCCCGCACCAACCATATATGGCGCCTCAAATCAAAATAAATTCATTATCAACCCTTTGCTCTTCGGTGGGAGGATTAACCTAGTTGCCGCTCGCTTCACTGTCGTCCCGTGGGTGGGAGGGGGCCCGGGGGCGCCTGATCGCACTAGATGCGGTGTCGGGGTGAGTCTCTCGCGATTTTTCCGTCATCGATTCGAAATGATGATTACGCTATCGCGATTAGGTAATCGCGCGCCGCGCTGATGTTATTGATCATAGATAGGATCGATGACTGTTCCCATTCGATTACTCAACCGTGGTGACACACGGAAAAAATTAAATTGCTGATTTGACAATTTTGTAGTTAAAAAAAGTGTCCGACATGTTTCAATGTAGATTTTACAGTAAAAAAATGCTAACTGAACCACCCCTGTGATTAAATTGGTTTTACATTATTGTAAAATGTACATTTGAAACATGTCGGGCGTATTTTTTAACAATTTGATTGTTAAATCAGCAATTCATTTTTTCCGTGCATGTGATCAATTTGGGATGTTGCAAATCTCACGTTGCATTTTATTTTTATAAACTTGGAGCTAAGCAACGACTTTTAAAAACAACCGTGATTGTTCCTGTCTCAGTGTAGTTTGAAAGCTGTTTTTGATACCTCAGCAGTTTTCGACCGAAATGAAGGAGGTATTCATAAAATTACGAAAATAATTGTTTGCTTTGCCACATGGGTAAAATGTTAATTCTAAAACATATCATTTTCTCACCATTATGAAATTGTCTCAAGGTATCACAGCCAAAAATATTTCAATATAAAATGCAAACGTCAGTTGTCATAACTGGACCGCGTTTAGTAGAAAAGAACCAAGCCACATCAGTTGTTGCCAGATTTAAAGTGGGCAATTTATTTTTTTTCAAGAGAACGTTTTTCAGACTCCTTTGAAAATTTTAAGGCATTCACTTCGTGCTATGTAGACAATTTACTGAAATTTACACAAAAATCCACACAACTGTTTTCATGTAAAAAATTAAATTGCTCAGTTAGATTTGGCAATAGCTGATCCAGCTTGGTTCCTTTCTGCGTAAACTAGTCCAACTGAAATTTTACTCGATCTATTGGATTGCTGTCTTGACGAAACCAGTATTTTCCTCAGCGAATTGAACTAAAAACTGCCGAGAAAAGACATTTTTTTTCATAAAAATTCCCATTTCTCTCTGTAGGCAAATCGCCTATTTATGCTGAAGTTAATATTGACAAACTATTTCGTACTTCGTATTGATAATAGTAGATTCTATTCCCTCCATGACTACGCGTGAACAAGCACGTGTAGAAAAAAAAGAAACTTCCGGCTACACTCTACACTGGTAGACGGCGACAAACTGATTTGCCTTCAACTGAGAGGGTAGGCCAAATAGGACACTCAGGAGCTGTAATAGTTGTATCCTTGTATCTGAGTTTTTAAATCCCGATTATTGTCTCTCGGTTTGCGTTTACATTGGGATATATCGACGATTAAACTGCTGAAACGAATTTTTTGGTTTGCGACGTTGCAGACTCTCTGCCGTATTTTATCTTTCATATGAAAAACTGTTTAACGTCAAAACTTTCAAACTTTCTTACTTCGTGTGAAAAATGCAGGTGTTCTGTAAAATTCAAGTCATGATGTTGGTTCGTTTTCCTTGTAAAAAATGAAAACGGAACTTTACTTATGCGACAAAAAAATAACATATACCGTCAAACCTTCGATACATGCTCGAATTGGATTTTATAAGTAAATAGAGCAAACAGAGGTTGAGGAATTTTGAAGTTTCGATATTTCTAATTTAAGCCTGTGTTTTTTCAGGGTTACCCATGATTCCAAAGTTTAATGAATAGACGAGTTGTAAATGGTAACAACGCTGATCACGCGTTAGTTTGTGAGATGCATGTAATTTTGAATTACATAAGCCCAGAGAAATTGACAAACTAATGATTTTTAATTCTTTTTGTTCTTGAGGAGGCGTCGTCTCTTTATCAGTAATGTTCGAAGTTACCTCATGCTGATAAATGTGTGATCAATGAACCGTGTGGATGTGGAGGGAAGCAATCGGTTTTGTCATTCATTTTGCTACTTCAACACCCTATAATCTGATATTTGGTTGCCCTTTTCAATGACCCGATGAAATGCGTATTTTAGGTCCGCCAGTCCCCGATACATATGGGTGGTGGATGGTTAACAACATTGTGCATAACTTTTTGCTCATTTTTGTGCTTATACTTATAAGTTAGACGCAACTTTTTCAGGAGTGACTGTGCGCTAAGTTAAAAGTTAAATGATTTCAAGACTAAATCAACAATTATACGTACATCACTGTATTTGATGCCGTAGTTTTTTCACCAAAAGTTGGAACTATCGTGAGCTAGACTCGTGCTGCTTTCAAAGAGGACCCATTCCTGTGTGAAATACTTTGTTCTAATCTGTGGTTTTTATAATGCATTACCAAACTATTCATCCGTGGAGCTTCGTGCTTGGAATGACTGCATTACTCTTCGTGTGTTTGTATTTTGGATAAAATATCTCAAATCATATTCAAAATATGGAGATAGTCATAGATCCTGTATATTTAATTTTTGGACTAATGCTGTTATATTCTGCTGCAAGAGCAATGATAACAAACTATAGAATTTCCATGTTTTAGACAAGCCCTTCATTGAGTCCAGAGTCAATAAATGTTATATTGAATGTTATATTGCCAAACAACTGGCAAACCAAAGAGAGCTCGAATGATTTTAACTTACTCTTTCTTCCGATTCCTGTCTCCGCAGAAAGATTCAAAATGATTAAAACGATTGTTTGCACGACGATTTTTTATGTCACGTGTTTCTGGTTGTATTTCACTTTGTAAATTACAAAAGATTAGTAAAATGAAGTGGTGAGAAAGTACCTAGTTTCTTTGGAAGAATTTTAAAGATTATCGCAGTCATGAGTTTTCGACTTTTTCTTTTCGCCTCTATTTATATTTGGTTCATTTATTACACATCAAAGCATCTACATGAAAGTTTAATTTGACCGAATTCACGCAAAAAAACAAAAAAAAAAAAGAAATCTCTGTCATATAAGGTATCTAAAACTTCGCAGGCTCTTAAAAGACTACCCGATCGGCTATGTAACGAAAATGCCTGATTTGGTTCTAAACTTGCTGCATCATAAAAAAAACCCGTTTACATGAGTTGTAGCACGGTTTTCCATATTAGCTGTACGCACTGTTGCCAAATTGTGCTGAGAATTCAGCACATTTCCTCATTCAACCACACGTAAAATATTCATGGTTTTTCACAAAATCTCGCAACTTTGGCAGTGCGACTCGGCGACCATATTCCGGTTTATGTAACCAAGCTTTCTAGTTAAACAGAAGCTGAATAATAGTTTGTTAGCATAAACTCAATTCTAGAGAAAGCTCGGTTGTATATGAACAGAGAATACGGTTACCAGAACTGAATGCACGATTACGTGAATTGAACAACTTATACTCAACACAATACAACCTATAATCAACATTTTTTGACGGTAAACGCCACATCGTGATTGCTTTTCTTTCCATACATGTGGAAAAAAAATAAGTTGTGGCCATAACACTTTTTTCAGTTTAAAGACATGTTTCCTCATAACTGTGGCTAGAACCTAATTCATGGAGTTCAGTCACAATATTCATGGGATGAAATAGCCACCCTTAATTTATTTGGAAAGGTCTTCAATCCAATTTGTGGCTTGACCGCAACCCACTGTGACTGAATCCCAATAAAGTGAGGTTCAACCTATAGTGACGTGTCCAGATACAGCTTTTGGCAATGTCGAGAGGAGGTCTGGGGGGACATATCCGGAGCAAAAGAGTGTCTGGAGAAAACTTTTCGAAAAAAACCCCACTAAAGGTCAAATTTTAACCAATCTAAGCTAAAGATTTGTGAAATATCTGACTTCGAAACTGTTTTCCTAAGTTTAAACTTGATGCGGTTTCGGCGATTCACTGTAAAACTCAGCCCAATTCACATACTAGTAGGACCGCGTTAAGTGGAAAGGAACGAAGCCACATCAGCTAGTGCCAACTTTAATTAGGCAATTTAATTTTTTACATGAAAACGGTGTTGCGGATTTCTGTGCAAAATGAATTTTCTACGCAATACGAGGTAAATTCCCGAAAACATTCAAAGGAATCCGCACAAACGTTCTCTTGTAAAAATTTAAATTGCCCCGTTAAATTTGGCAATAACGGATGAGCTATGGTTCCTTTCTGCTGAACACGGTCCAATAAATTATAGACCTCAACTAGGCTCCCTGTGATACAGGGATTCCTAGCCTGGACCCTTGACTCTTTTGTCGTGTAGCAGTACCTCCACATACTGCTCAGTAGTTTTGTACATACATTCCTCCCCTTTAGCACAACAATGAAACCCTGAGACTCAGCTTTCTGATCTGCTAAGGTAAAGTTCACTAGAGTACCTTTATAGGGAAAGTATGTACAACTCGATTTATGTCGCTCTTAGGGCCCAAAAGGGCGACAACGTGAAAAATGAAATCACCAGAAAAGTGCCGCTGCCAACCTATGCATTTGGAAGACTACTCAATATGGCCGACAGAGCATCGCAAACAAGCGTCCTAAAGGGTTAAAACTTTGAAACTGAGAAAATTTATGCAAAAGCAAAGTTCTATACGTGCTTTTATAATTTTTGAACAGTGTAAATAGTTTGAATGTGAAAGTTAGTACCACTGGATAATTCGAGTTCATAGGTTGGCTGCCTTATTGGGCCCAAAGAGTTACATGCCCTGGTCAAACCTCACCTCCTTTTCGAGTTGTCCATACTCTCCCGATAAAGGTACTCTAAAGTTCAGTGTCCGACCCGAGCACGAGTGCGCTCCACCAGAGTGCGCCAGTAGCGTTTCGCGCAAGGCTAGGTCCAAGTTTGGGGCAACGTGGAG